TGCAGGATCTTTTCAATCAGCAGCCACCCATGACACATAGAACTTCAACCTGCCTCCATCCATTTGTGTCCGTTAAAAAAAACCTCATTGCAGAGTTTTAAAGCTTTAGCTCTAAAGCAATAGGAGTCTTGATTGACACAGACAGATGGCCACAAAAGAATCGCGATTTGGAATCGGTTCGTCATGGTGATCATATAAAAAGTATGTAATAAGGGTTCTACGAGGCTTTCTTATTTTTGATTCAAACTTTCGCACCTTATAGTGTTTTGTTAAGGAACTTACTTGTACTTGTATGTTGTGTCAGTAAAAGCTTCAAGTTGAGTGTAAAACATACATATGTACCTATCTTCTTCGTATTGAATGGTATATCTAATTGATATGATTTAAGTCAAGTAAGCAGTTTTTCAAACATCAATTTTTGTTCACCATTAATTACCATTTACCATTTATTAATTCATCTGGATATCAGATAATAGTACACCGTATCCAAAGGATATACCAGTTAAGTGCGAATGTACACACAGACCCCACAGAGTACATACTTATATACGAGTATATATTTTTGATCAGTATGACAGCAGTAGAGTCGATAAAGCAATATCTGTTTGTATTTGCGTCTGTCTGAGGTTAGGTTTATTCTGCAGGAACCAAATATTAAATCGATAACCGAAATATGTGCATACGGACTCTAAATATTTCAAATATTAAAATAGTAAATATTTCTTTTACAATTTGTAAATGTTTTCCAATTTTATAAAATGTTTTTATTTATTTCTATTTTATTTTAAATCGGTACTTGAGAGAACAATTATTAAATTTTATAATAATACTTTGACAATTTTTGTTTTAAAAAATTTAGAATTTTAGATTTAGATACAAATGCAGTGACGAGATTATTGATGGATAGAAATTAGCTTCATGATATGAAGGTCAAACGGGAGAAGTCTTTTACTTATGGCCAGGTTGTTTGCATGGTGAGAAAGCCGTATGTATAAATACCCATATGTCAACTATGTTTTGGGCGATGAAGCTATAAGAGCGATCGCTATGAAATTGATGAAGTATGTTCATAGTTTAGTCAATACTGAGCCATTATTTATCGCTCAAGAAATAAATGTAGTACTTATACTTGTAGTATTTATTTCATTATTATATTAAATCTATGTTTGATACGAGAGTAAGGGTCGATGAAATTAGTTCACTACACATATGTCGACTTTGGAGTACTCTTACATAAATGTTTGTATTTAAATGCTTATTATGACTTGTTCTTTCATTTCAATTTTATCCTGAAGATATGCAGAAGATATGTTTCTATTACTATTCCTCCTGCAATCTTAACAGTGACATTATATATATATATACTACATGATTTAGAAAAGTTTGTGTTCTTTTAAATGTAATCATATAAAGAACAATTCTCAATCGTAAAATATGAGAAAATATAATAAGCTTAAAGGCTACCCAACCATAAATGAGCGACCCCATGGATAATTTGATTAAAGATATGCAATAGAAACCGTCGCATCCATTCTGCATTGAAAAAACAAAAAAAAAAACTGGCTGAAAACCGACAAGCTAGGCCAGACAAGTTCCCAAGCTTAGAGAGCCACAAATAATAAAACAATTTAAATAACAACCATGGCAAGTACACAGCCATGCAAACAGGCAGCTAGGCAGGCAACACCAAACGCGTTAGTTAGATAGATTTATCTGCATGTACACGACAACGACGGCAAGGATGATGGCGAAGACGACGAAGTGCCTCCTGTGACTGCGTGCTCCTTCATCCAGCCTGGTCGTAGGTAGCTTGACCTGGCACCGCCTGGTTGCAAGAACTCAAGAGCATGTCAAAACAAAATAACATCTTTAGCGCCCAAACATGACTAAACATCAAAATTCCAGCAGATTAACGTCAATTTTAATTGCATTCACTTACCAGACGGGTCTGTCTGTCAGTCTGTCTGTCTGGGAAGGAGCCAACCTGGATGCCTATGGAACTTAGAGGAGCGGAAGGCAAACAGCCAGCACATCTAGCAGTAACAGCATTACAAGCAGCTGAAAGTATGCAAACGTAAGAGAAGGTTGACCCAACCGAAGGGTTTAAAGGGTGTACGAGTATGCATGTACCTGCCTCTGCCTCCAGCTCTGCTGCCCAGCTCCAGGAAAGCAAACAAAGCTCCACAAGGTTGTGATTAACATGCGATAAAGAATGACCAGTCAACGTGCAACGAACACCACAGCCGTGTTGCAACCTTCGGTGCATACAATGGCAGCAGTGATGTCTGAGTAACTGACTCTGAGCGCAAAACTTGCAACAGAGCTGCTGCTGGTCGCTCCTTTGCCTTCTTACTTGTAGGCCTGGTCAGTCTGCTTACTATATTTGTTGTTTGCATTAGCACGAGTTTTCAGCGTGCTCTCCAGTCTCGACTGTAAACCCGTCTCTGACTCGGACTGTGGCTCGGACTCTGACTCTGAGTCTGACTTCGACTTCGACTTCGGGGCTGACTCAAACTGGACTCCAACTACAATTGCTGCACTTAATGCACAAAAGTTAAGTGTTTGCCTGTCACATGCGATTTGCACCTGCCGGATGAGCAATGGCCAGACACCCGGCTTTGCGTGGATTATTTATCTGCGCCACATCAGCCAGCAGCCCAGTCAGTCTGCTCGGGAGCGTCATATCCAACTAAGTTTTATTTTAAGCAGCTTGAGACTGGACCGCGTGTGTAAACACTGCCTGCGTGCAAGGGCCAGATGCACGTTGCAAGATTCCTAAGCCTATAATCAGGCAACGGCTCTACAAACATTTGCGTTGGGCTAAAACATTTCTCTTCATAAATTTTAATATTTTAATTTGCTGGGCCGCAATAAAAACATAAAACGACATTAAATGGCTGCCTTGTAAACATGGCCTCTGCCCGCCCCTCCTCCTCCTCTTCCTCCTCCTCATCTTGCTGTCGACCAGGCATGAAATGCAATTTCTTGAAAATCCAAGCGATTGGTCGTCGCCATCGTCGTCATCGTCGCCACTTTACATTTCCTGTGAATTTTGTGCTTTGATTTTGGGAAAATTAACAAGAGCTCAAACAACAGGCCAGCCAAGAGTCAACAACATGAAAGCCATAACCATAGCCATAGCCATAGCTGTAGCTATAGCTGTAGCTATAGCCCAGGCAAATCAGCGTCATCAGTAGCAGCAACAGCAACAACAGCAACAGCAACAACAGCAATAGCAAGCAAGCAGTCGTACTGCAGCATGTTGTTTGCCTCGCTGGTTTCATTTGCTGCCCCGGCCTGACAACAAACCAAGCCAACCAAGCGATGCCGTTGTATGTACATAGTTTGTTGCCAATGCCCGGGCACGCTGACTTGGCAGTGAGTGAGCTTTGCTTTGCACTGCTCGGCTCGGCTCTGCACGGCTCTGCTCTGCTCTGCATTGGTTGTTTGGTTTGGCTTGAGTTGGTCGCCTGGTCGGTCGCTTGGTTGGTAGCCGCTTCCACCGCTAAACAGGTTAAAATGTCGTTCAAAATGTCAAGTCAACACTTTGATGTTGTCCGTGTTCAGCTAAACCACCGCTGCTCGGTGCTGTTGTTGTCGTTGTTGCTGTTGCTGTTGCTGCTGCTGCTGCTGCTGGTGGTTTGTTTGCGTGTGATCTGCGCTTTATTTATGCAACATTCAACACAAGATGGAACATACAACATTGCCAAAATGTTAAGTGCAGACGTAGATGTCGTGCTGTCGATGTCGCCGACTTTCCGATGTTGTCGTTGTTGCTGGCGTTGCTGTTGGCGTTGCTGTTGTTACCGGTGATGTTGATGCTGTTGTTACAGCTGCAACTAAGGCTGCAGTTGTTCTAATGCAGGAAGAACTTTTCGATAATTGAGCAAACCCAACAGTGGCGGCCCATGTGGGAATGAGGTACTTAGTAGAGAACTCTTCACCACCATAAAATACGTTCAAACAGAAATGGATAGAATTTGATCATCTCCATTTCCCAACGAACCAACTCTTAATTGAAATTTAAAATTCAAAGCTATTTTTATACCCAAAGGTTTTCCAATGGGGAAAATGCTGCTATCTGTGTCACTTTTTCATTTTGAGTTTTCAGCTCCGGTTTAAAAGCTTTCATTTTAATTTTTCCATATTAAATATGCGAGCACATATATGTATAATGCTTTGAGCTACATATATTTCAAAGAAAATATCTTGGAAAATAGCCACAATATAGCTTAACATTTTAGAATTTGGTAAGATGAGAAATGTAGGGGTAATTTACCTTAATCCCAATATCTAAGCCCACATTTTCTAAAAAAAAAAAACTGTGATTGGCAATGTTTTGCACACAGATGACAATTGAGGGTTTCTTATACTCTGTGCCCGTACGGCAAAAGACTATATCAGAATTGTGCAAAGGATATAGCAGGTATATAGTAAATATATTCTTCGACACAAAGGGATCCGGACATGTCCGTCGGAAACGGCTGACCCTACATTAACCATTATAGGCTCTTTTAGTCCCTAGGCAGCTCGATACTATTTTTATGCCCTGTACCCAAAGGCGTGTCAGACCTCACAAAGTATATTCTTGATCAAGGGAACAAGCTCAGCCATGTCCGTCTGTCCGTCTGTCTGCATGAACGCAAGGATCTCAGAAAGTATAAGAGCTAAAATAACCAAAATTGCATATTATATTTTTTAATTTTATTTGATTAATTTAATTTTTTTTATTAATTAAAAAAACAATTTTTTTATTTATAATTTTTTGAAGAGGATACAGGGTGTTTGAAAGTTGAGCTCGCTCGGCTCTAGCATTCCACTCTCGTTTTATTTATTTTTTTTTTTTTTTTGGATTTTCCCTCCCCTATGCTTTGCTAACAAATTTCCTCAATATTGCCCACAATCCCAAAGTCCTAAAAGTATTTTTTCATATAAACTAAGAATCTGCCAAAACTGCCGCGCTCCCTGGCAAACACACATTGACGTGAAAAACAGTTTTCTATACCTAATAGGATTGTGAAAAATGAATTTATATTGAATTAACAATGACATGATCAATAGAAAACTGAGTTCTTCACACTGTCGCATCGCACCTACCATCGTCCTGCTAAAAATTTCTATTTCTTCCCGTCGCTAATAGTGGTTGCGCATTGTGCAATAAATTCCGAACCGCAAATAATGGGCGTAGTATAATAAAGCTGACCACCATCTTGGCATCCACGCTCATGACAGCGCCGGCATTGTCAAACATGCCACAATAGTTTGGAGCTGAGAAAACCGTTACTAACTGGCGTCGCGCGAAGAACTCGTAACCATCTTCGACCACCTGATGTGCACGACAAATGACATCGACACCGAACCGATTGCAGAAAGATTGCACAACGTCCTGTCCAAATGTAACGCTCACTCCCCGCTCATTTTCACCCCAACCCCAGACATTTTCGTCCGGATCCGACCAGAGCAAATCACAGATCAGACCACGGTCGGGAACTTCACAAGGCCGCTGGATCTTTCGTATGTCATCGAGACTGTTGAGACTGGGACTAAGCCCGCCGTGCACGCAAAAGATGCGACCACCAACCAGAGCTGCTATAGGTATGCACTTGTAGGTATCAACGAAGTGTCGCCAAAGTTTCACCGTATACCTTCGCTTACACTCGTCATAGAAGCCTGTTGTATAGATCATTACAAAGTGCTTTAATTTTTATTTTTTTTTTGACTAGTAGCCTTACCGTATATTCTATTTATGCTGGCGCACTCGTGATTACCACGGAGCAAGTAGATCGATTTGGGGTAACGAATCTTGTATGCCAGAAGCAGGGTGATGGTCTCTATGGACTGTTTGCCGCGATCAACATAGTCGCCCAAAAATAAGTACCTCACCTGAGGTGGATATCCTGCCGACTCAAAAATGCGCAATAAGTCACTGTATTGGCCATGGACATCGCCACAAATCTTAACTGGCGGCGCAACATCAAGCAGCGTTGGCTCGGACAGAAAGATTTCACGAGCACGCATGCATATATAGCGGATGTCACTCTCATCCAATTGTACGCCCACGCTCGGCTGATCACACTCAACCAGGGAGGAAATAACTTCATCAATATCCACAAAGGCGGGGGCTCCGTCGCGACGCATTTCAAAAACTGAGCTCGGTCTGCGCGAAGCTTGGGGGGATCCGGTCGCTGACATGAAGGCGGGTTTGCGTTTTGACATTTTCAAATTTGGAATTTTTAATAGGTTTATTTAGTTACATAAAAGACGTTCACAAATGACTTAAAAGTGAAAGAGTCGAAAACAGTCACCCCAAATGAGATCGGAGGTGGTGCTCTACTCGTAGGTTCGGAATTGGCCACGGGCCGAATTACAACGATTTCTGAGAGCCCCAAATTGGGCGCCGCAAGACAATAGCCGCCTGTTTCGCGGATAGTACGCAACGGAATGTCTGTCGAGAAGCTGCCAAAAGGCAGAAGTTGTTGCAATTCTGAGAATATTTTACGCTTGTTGAAGTTGAAAACAACTTTGAAGACATCTCCACCGGTACAGCCACCTCCAACGATGATGACGACAACGACCACAATGCCGACGACGATGGCGATGGCGATGGCGATGACAACAACAATGTCGACTCGACTGCCTGCCAGATTCTCTGCGCCTGCTCCGACATTTGGCTCTCATAGTATGGGTTGCTATGCTAGCAAGTCGGAGCTCACTTGGGTTTTGTGTTATGTTTTCTTTGCACTTGAATTGTATCACATCAATGGCCATTGTGTATGTCAACTTTGATGTTTCGGCAAAGTTTTTGAAGTGTGAGGTTTTAGACGTTCTTATTGCACTTTGCCGAAAAGTGGCCATTGGTCTGCACAAGGGGCCGAGAGGACGGGTGGACTGGTGGTTGGATGAACGGGTTGGACTAGCAACTACCGCCTTGACAGGTGAAGAATGCCAAAAACGATTCAAGTGCCTGTTGGCCAGCGCTCGCAGCAGACCAACTGACTGCCTCTTCACTCTTGTTGCTGTTGTTGTTATTTTCTTTTCTGGTGTTGCTGTAGTTGTTGCTGTTGTTGTTGCTGTTGTCGCTGCTGCGACTGCTGCCCCTATGACTGACGTGTTGGCCACTTGAAAATCAACTCAAGCCTTTTAGGCGGAAAGCATAACACCAAACAGAATCGACAACGCAGGAGTCGCCGCTTGATTTTGTATTTATTTTGTTTACACATTTCCTTTGAATTTTCTGTTCTAATTGAGTAAGAAGTGCAGTGAGCTTGCAGTTTTCATTGGGCGCGATCATCTGTGTACGAGTACGTGTATGGCCACGTTGGCGGTTTGCTTGGAGGCTTTAATTGGAATTTCATACCTGAAATGCTCGCTCCTTCCTCGATGTACATACAGACGAGTGTATTTGATTGGTGTTTGGATAATGAGCTTGCAATATTCTGAACCGGCACCAGCTGTTGCCATCGTTGTTATTACGGCTTTTGTTGCCCAGGCGCTTTAAATGTAACACGGCGTGAAATTTAACACACATCATCGCTTATGCCACGTTTTCCACGTTTTTGTTATTGTTAAGAAAATAAAAGTTCTGCACCATGATGCGGGGTTTTTATTATAGCGTATTGATTTAATTTAAAATTGTTTATTTAATTTATGTTATTATTACTTGATTAAGTATGGGGCGCTGGCAAGCTGTTGGTTGACCGCCTGCCCAAAAAGGGCTTAGATGTTTTTTCAGCTCAAATTGATTAGTGATGGCTGCGGAAGTTTGTCTAGCGGGGCAGGAAGGTTGAGGAATGCTGGTACTGCTGGGGAAAGAAGAGCCAACAATGTGAGAACTGCAGAAAATTGGGGTTCCAACTCTGTATGTACCTTTCTTAGATTAGGTAATCTAATTCATAGATAAACATAAGAAATGAAATACGTCAGTTGTATATGCAGCTTAAAGGCGAAAATATAATTTAAAGCACATATACAAGTAGGTATACTAAATAAGTCGTTAGTGTTCAGCCGATCGGCTCGATTGCTATCATGTTTTCAAATAAAGCTTTGGCACAAATCCACATTGTAGAATCTATTAAAAATCCATTTCCCATTTCATGCTGAACTAATGTTATTAAGCCTCTAATTAAGAGAGCACACAATTTTCATTGCCTCGACATGTGGGCATTAAGTTGGGAAACCAAACTGCAGCCCCTAATTACAATAAAAAATAGTTAAACGGAAAACTCAAAGAGCAATAAACAAGCTCGATGTTGTTGCCATTTTTATTAGCCTAATAAAGAGAACAATATTCATCATATCTGGAGCAGAGCGCGACGGGCAAGTCTCCTAATGAGCAAGCTGAGCAAACGGAGAAAACTGCAACGGTTTTTAATGAGCTGGCACAGTCCGTTGTCCGCTTCTAGCTCGTAAAATGGTTCTAAGCGTATACGGCGGCATTTATAATGAAAACAAAAAAGAAAATTAAATGGCTACAATAATTAAAACACCTGTTTTAATTAGATAAAAATGCATGTACAAGGTGTAGCTCTGAGAGAATAAAAAATGAAGTCATAGTCTAGACAAAAGAAGATCCCACCACCGACCCAGACCCAGGCCCGAACCCAGAGCCCAACCCCGACCCCGATCCCGACCCCAGCTCGAAACTGTTAACTTGTTGAAAGTTGAAGTGTTAAACGACAACAAAAAGACTTGGCCAATATACTTTGAAGGAAGTGCACTACAATTAATGACCAAGCGGCAGCTTAGAAGTTGTTCCCAACAACTTTATCATGTACTCGTACATGAGGCTAGTTGTTGAGGCGGTTGCCAACAGCTGGGCGTCTTCCCCGGAAAAATGCAGTCAACGATTACTCGGCCGCATCTATTTTGTTTTTCAAGCGAATGTGCCCGTTTCTATTGTGGGCTTGCCACCGCAAATATGTCAAAACATGATCATCGTACACCGTATTTGAATGGGTTTGTGCAGTCGGCACGACCAGCCACATAATCCTTTGGGTTCGACTGAAACACTGCCTGTGACTGTGCTTCTCTGCGTTGCTGTCTGCGTTCCTCAGAACGTCTAACAATGAGCATTGCCTGCATGCCTGTCCCTTTTTGCAGCTTCTACTTCCACTTCTACTTCAAATGAAGTGCATTCATCCGACGGCAATCCTTTTTGTCTTGTACACCATTTCACTTAAATTTGAGTTGACATCCTACAGACGAACGGGCGCACAGTTGTTGTTATTGTTGTTGTCAATAACGAGGACGATGTCGTTGCCGCTGACATATCCTTTAAGCATGATTAAAAACGCAAAGCAAATGAAAATTGTTTTGTGCTTACGCCTCTTAACACACCTTGAAAACAACAACAACAACAACAACAAAAACAGCAACAGCAATGGCAACGGCAACAAAGCGAGGCGTGCAACAAAGGTGCAGCAGCGGCAGCAGCAGCCCCAGACAGGCAACTGAACTTGAGCTCAAAATAGGAGTTAGACAATGATTCTCCCTCTTCCACTCGTACTATCCACCTCACGGTCTCTCGCTTTCCATCTTCTTTTCTTCCGTCTCGCACAATGTGCACTTAAAATCCTACAGATTTTCTCACTTAAAGGAAAAATAAAATGATAAACTCCCTTCTGAATGGCTGGCAGTTTGCTTTGCCCGCATTAAGACAAGCGCCCCCGTTTACAAATAGCGAAATACTTGTATGTACCGAATAAGCCTAACCAAAAATCCTGTGGAGCCGTCAAAGGAAGTGCCTGTGATGCCCATAGCTCCTTGCGATTTCATGCACCAATTGAGTCGTTAAATTATTTTCGAAATTGAGTCGAGCCGCTGTTGTCTTGAGTGTGTGTTTTATGCTACTTTTTAGTACACATCCCTCACTCCACCACCTTCGGTCTATGGCCCAACCCCCTGCCCCTCCATTTTGTGTGAGTGCGTGTGGCATTGGCATTGGCACTGGAACCCCCAGCTTCATGGGGACCTGGCAGCGCCTACTTAGAAAGGCGCCGCACACATGAAGGCCAAGGCACGTTGCTGGGCCGTAAACGGAAGTGTGTATGTCGCTCGCAAACATTAAATTAAAATATGTTGCGCGTACTTCTTTTCGCTCTGGGTTGTTCTTTAATTAAAACCAAAATGTTACTGTCGGCTACAGTCGCGAGAAGTTCTCTTTGTCGGGGCGTTAAATGCATTTTGTGTGTGATTTCACGGCTTTATGGCTGGCATTTTTAACTAATGGCTCCACGGCCATATGGGTATGATATACTTGTACTACGTGCTCGTACATGTGGTAAGTTTTTTTTTTACTCCACTGGCCGACATTGTTCTGTAGCGGTTCCTGAGAACGATTGACCCTCAATATGGGCTGAGAAGGGAAACTAACTAAACATTAAAAAATTAATAAACTAATTTGGCCGCTGCTTCATCTGTAGATCTTGCCTTGCCCAAAACGATCCAAGCAATGAGGTCATTATTAAATTTCCACTAGCTTTCGATATCTTTTGGGCGGATTGGAGCTCCAGGAATGCACAACTGTTGACCAAAGCTGTGCAACATTACTTTGTTACCAAAGATATTTAAATGGGTTAAGTTTTGGTGGCTGAGCAGGGCATTTTTCTGTTGGCCCTGGCACCACTATTTGGGCACTTTGCTTATGTGCTTCGGAAAGACCCATTTCTGTGAGATGTCTTCACTGGCATGTTGAAGCATATCCCCCTGCAATATTTGTACCTATTGGTGCCGATCCATAACTGAGTTGTATTGAAAAAGACAGTCCGATAGACGCTCATAGCTTTTCAGTAAAGTGCTTCAAGAATGTAATACATCTGTTAATTTTGAGTGATATGTACTGTCTTAGATCGTTTCTAAATCGCGAATACACATTTAATATCTACCTACAAGTATATCTACCTATTTGTGTAAACATCTATGAAAAATAAATTAAAAGCAATTGCAAGAACTCTTGGGATCGGATAGGTCGTTCTGAGAAATTAAGCTTCCGCTCTCACCACAGATGAGATAATCTAGTATGCTTTCGTTACTTTAAGCTTAATTAATTATTGTCTTGTGTATATAAACATTAATTATTCTTTGTTATTAACAAATTTATTTATGCGTTTATTTGTAAACAAAAATGTTGTAAAGACTTTCTAAAAACCCTGTCGTTGCTATGACAGCTCCGATATGTTACAGATTCATGTAGCTTTACATAAAATCATAATTGGGTAAGATGATATATATAACCATATTAGGAATTCCTATCAATAG